CTCAAACTCCTGGGCTCAAGCGATCCTTCTGCCTCAGCCTCCTGAGTAGCTGGGACTACAGGCATGTGCCACCATGCCCGGCTAATTTTTTCTATAATATTTTTAGTTGTCCACATAATTTCTTTCTATTTTTTAGTAGAGACGGGGTCTCACTCTTGCTCAGGCTGGTCTCGAACTCCTGACCTCGAGCGATCCTCCCGCCTCAGCCTCCCAGAGAATTTTTCTATTTTAGTAGAGATGGGGTCTCACTCTTGTTCAGGCTGGTCTTGAACTCCTGAGCTCAAGCGATCCTCCCATATCAGCCTCCCAAAGTGCTAGGATTATAGGCGTGAGCCACCGTGCCTGGCCTGTTTTTTATTTTTTAATGATCACTGAGGAAAATCGGAACTAGAACTAACTAGGGATCCATAAAAGGATTACTGGATGTTTAATGCACAAGTGAGGTTAAAGACTATTAGTTAAAATGGTACCAATTTATTGTGCAATTTTTCTCCAGAGGTACTTAGCAATACAGCTGTCAGAGTGTAGAAGCAGAAAAGGTAAAGCAATCTGGGATGAAGACCTAGTTATGAGAGAGAGACTGGTGGGTTTCATTTCATTTCAATAACCCTTTCTTTTTTTTTTTTTTTCTTTGAGACAGGGTCTTGCTTTGTCTCTTGGGCTAGAGTGCAGTGGCTTCATCATAGCTCACTACAACCTCAAACTCCTGGGCTCAAGCAATCCTCTTGCTTCAGCCTCCCAAGTAGCCTAGACTACAGGCGCACACCACCATGCCCAGCTAATTTTTCTATTTTTTGTAGAGACGGGGTCAGGCTGGTCTCAAACTCCTGAGCTCAAGTAATCCTCCCACCTCAGCCTCCCAGAGTGCTAGGATTACAGGCATGAGCCACTGTGCCTGGTCAATAACCCTTTCTTTACAACTCTGTACCAAGCATTATGCTGGGTGCTATGAATACAACTTACAGTCCTAGTGTTGGACAAGCCCATGCAAGAGTAATAAGTGAAATGATAAAATACAGTGTACAGAGGACATGTAACTTCAACTTTGGAGCTAAGGGAGACCTTCCCAGAGATGACTAGTATGAGTTACCCAGGCAAAGAAAGCACTAGGGGTAAGGAATGGGTGTCAGTCATTGCAGGCAGAGAAAATAGCATGTGCAAAGAGCGAATGTATGACTACAAATAGTTAGGGATGGTTACAGCATGGTGCACATGGAAGAGGCTGACAAGAACTGAAATTGTAAAATTAGCAGGGTCTAAATTCTGGAGAGCTTTCTATGCTTTGCTAAAAAATTTGGATTTTATCCTAAAGGCAATAGGGATCCTATTGAAGGACTTGGATCACTTGAGCAGCAATTCAGAATGTGGATGGTAGGCCGGGCGCGGTGGCTCACGCCTGTAATCCTAGCTCTCTGGGAGGCCGAGGCGGGCGGATTGTTTGAGCTCAGGAGTTCGAAACCAGCCTGAGCAAGAGCGAGACCCCCGTCTCTACTAAAAATAGAAAGAAATTAACTGGACAACTAAAAATATATAGAGAAATTAGCCGGGCATGGTGGCGCATGCGTGTAGTCCCAGCTACTCGGGAGGCTGAGGCAGGAGGATCGCTTGAGCCCAGGAGTTTGAGGTTGCTGTGAGCTAGGCTGACGCCACGGCACTCACTCTAGCCCGGGCAAAAGAGTGAGACTCTGTCTCAAAAAAAAAAAAAAAAAACAACAACAACAAAAAAGAATGTGGATGGTAGAACAGCATTGGAGATGGCTATGGCAGTCATTTAGGCAAGACAGTTGTAAGGCAAGAACAGTGGGCAGAGATTTGAGAGAAGTTAGTAGGTAGAATCTGTAAGACTTGGTGACCGATTAGATGTCATGAATATTTTAATCAGGCAGTAAATATTCATTAAGTCTAGTGGATACCAGGCATTATTCTAGATGTTCTGAATATAGCAATGAATAAAATAGTCCCTTCCCTCAAAGAGCCTAGAATTTAGTGGGGGAGGTAGACAATAAACAAATAAAACTAAGAAGTATTATGAAGAAAAAAATGATGTGAGAGGGTATGGCGTGAGGGTACTAGTTTTTTTTTTTTTCTTTAAGAGAGGGGTCTCTCACTCTGTTGCCCAGGCTAGAGTGTGGTGGTGTGATCATAGTTCACTGCAACGTCAAATACCTGAGCTCAAGTGATCCCCCTGCCTCAGCCTCCTGAGTAGCTGGGACTACAGGCTTGTGCCACCATGCCTAGCTAATTTTTAAAATATTTTTGTAGAGACAAGGTCTCCCTATGTTGCCCAGACTGGTCTCAAACTCCTGGCCTCAAGTGATTGTCCTGGCTCAGCCTCCCAAAGTGCTGGGATTGTAGGTGTGAGCCACCATACCTAGCCAACGGTGCTAATTTAATGGTCAGGGAAGACCTTGCTAAGTAGCTGTCATTGACATATGAATATGCATGTATTACTTCAGTAAAGTTAAAACTTTTTTTAAATTTGAAAAGGTAGGGAATGAAAGAACCACAAAAGATACTTTAAAAGACTGTCCAGACCAGGCGCGGCGGCTCACACCTGTAATCCTAGCACTTTGGCAGACTGAGGCAGGAGGATAGTTTGAGGCCAGGAGTTTGAGACCAGCCTGGGCAACATAGCTCTACAAAAAATTAGCTGGGCGTGGTAGTGCTCACTTACAGTCCCCAGCAACAGAGTGAGACCCTGTCTCCAAAAAAAACAGCCCTTTAACAAAGAAAAAAAAAAAGTTCATGTTCACCTCTCTCCAAAAAAAAAAAAAAAAAAAGCAGAAAAGAATGAAACCAGGATACACTGTTTTGAGGGAAGCCAGAGGAGGAGAGTTTCAAAGGACAAAGGGGTCGGCAATGTCCAGTACTTTCAGAAAGGTCAATTAGATAAGGACTGAAATTTATTTGGATTTGGCCATTGGTGAGCCTGGTAAAAGCAGTTTCTTTGGAGTGGTGGGTGCTGAAATCAGG